TTTTTTTTTTTTTGATTGATTAATTGCGGATCAAACCGTCGTGGTTTTCGCCCAGGAATCTATGTTTACATTCGGGTTAGATGACCTTTTGCTGTCATTCTGGTTAAAAACGCCCGCAGCAATTCAGCGAAAACTACCGAGGAAAGCTGCCAGCCCATCCTGAGGATATTTAATCGGTAACAAAAACCTAAATTCGGGCTGGAGATGACTTTGTTCGTGGAGTGTTTTGGGTTTTCTTCAAGGTTCTTTTTCAAATCCGTCTCGACATACGCGAAATTTCGTAGGCCTATGTAAGTGAAGTTCCAATGTTGACAAGGGGGCTTATCGAAAATCATGAATTAGATGGTTTGGCAGTTGAAGGAGCTGTGAGAGCCACTAAATCCCAATGCTAGGAATTTGCCTTTTCCATCTGTGAAGTTGTGTGTTGCCTCCCTTTTAGGACTGTTAAATGTGTCCATTGTCTTATCAGAGCGAAAGTGGCTTTAATGGGAACTAGTAACATTCTGTCTATCTACATGCCGTAGTCAACCGAGTAGTTGAGCGGAAAGTGAAGTGTAATCCGGTCTCAATGTAGCCCGAGGTGACTGACTATGAAAAGTCCTGTCAGCTGAGTTCCTGCAGTTGGGAACGGCTCGTCTATCATTATTTATTTCAGAAACTTCCTCCTATCACTCATATTCGATCTGTAGTGAATGTAATGAGTTTGGAAGACTCTCCCGATTTGTCCCTTCCTGAGTTACCGGAAATCTCGTAAGATTTATTGCTTCTTGTTAAATCTAACATCTAACTTTTTAAAGTCGTAATTGCCATTTTTTACCATTCCCTTTAAGATTGAATGGGAATGATGAAGGTTATTATCCGCTACTCTATGTTGCCGATTTGCTGAGTCGTGAGAAAGATCTGGTTGAGGTTAGTTGTGCGCTGGCCGGTCGTTCACATAGGGTTCCTTGCATGTTCTTTTATTCGAAAGTTTTCACCAGTATTTATGTTGTTTTAAAACTTAAGCTTCATTTCATGGGTAGCCCGGCTAGTAGCTTAATCATAGCTCCTTTTATTCAGCATACTTCATTTTTCATCTTTTATAAGTATCCTCTACATGCGAAGTTTTCTCTTCACGGTGACTTAAGGCAAAAATAATTTATCTTATTTCAGATGAAAAAAGGAGATACTCATATGAACATCACAGTCAAATACCTTCCCGTTCCGCTTGGCAAAATACGATTTCATACCATGATCTCTTCTTCTTTGAAACAGCTCCTTCAGCTTGGATTCACTCAAAAGGATTTGGAAGATGTAAGAACCTTCTGTATCCTTTGTTTTGCTTGAAATTCTATGAATTCAGTAAAGCTATGACTGTAACTGAGATCTAAGGGAGTTTTATAACAACATTTTGTTGACGGTCTTCTTCCTTTGACGATTTGAGCCTGAAAAAGTTTCATTGAGTCGACTGTCATATACGCTTTTCTGTCAACTGCTCAGCAACATCGATAATATGTTAGAACCGAAAATTTTCACCGTTCAGTTCCTTGGTGTCAAGTATCTTGTTTTGCCTTTAATGGAACTTTTTTCCAGGTAAAGGCAATTTTTGGAGACACCAGTCTTTACCTTCTTGGTATAACCGTGTTCGTTTCTTCAATTCATCTTCTTTTCGATGTATTGTCGTTCAAGAATGACATATCCTTTTGGCGAGAGCGAGAATCAATGGTTGGCCTTTCTTCCAAGTGAGTTTGTCTCAAGGATTGCTTATCTTCATTAACTGGTTTTATTTGCAATCTCCAATACCGTTTGATCTATTCAACCTGCCAGGGCTTTGCTATGGCGTTGTTTCTCGTATACCGTCATTTTCTTCTATCTCCAAGATCAAGAAACGAGTCTCCTTGTGATTGTGCCTGCGGGAATTTCGGTATTGATTGAATTCTGGAAGTTGAAGAAGGCTTT